CCTTTGGACAAGCTAGTTATCTCTCTGTCACATTAATGCAATGGCTTCAAACATTTTGTGATTCAGTGACCAGAAGTATGCAGATTAAGTGTTCTGACTTCACTATGTTGTCTATGTCATCAATGAGTCAAAGAATTGATTTTTATTTATTTATTTGCCATTCATATGTAAGTGTTTTTTGTATACATTTTGTTTTATTATGTAGTGCTGCATTAAAATATACACTTTATTACATTTGTTAACAGTGTCCCAAGGGACACTGTTTTCTCTTTATTCTATTTGTGCTCCAAGGAACACTGTATTCCATTTGTAAGCAGCTTTATCACACTTTGTACTAGAAACATAATTTTAGAATCACTATGAACTTGACATATTGCAGAATAACATTTGCAAGATCAGTCTGGGGAGTTATAAGCTATCATAGTTTCCAGGCTGAAAATAAAATGCGATTTTCATGACGTTAAAAAAAAACTTGGCTTTGTTCTATATTGCACATTATGACTAATTCACAGTGCTTTGCCAATGCCTATTGAGTCATGCCCAGTTTAGAAAAGTCACCAGCTCTTTACCAACACCACCCTTCCACCCCAACCCAAAGCTGGGGATGAGCATCCCTAAAAGCCATTTTTCCAAAAGCTGATTTTGCTGATTTTGATTTGATTCTGGGTGTGATGCTGATATGCACAAACCCGTCTATGAGTAATGATAAAGATACATATGAATATATCTGTACAGCTCATAATCCATGTTACATTGTATGCTTTGTGTGTTCATTATGTTTTGTAAATACTGAGGCTAATAACCAGGCAATGTTTGCACTTTGCAAATTTTTTCTGAAGTATGTGTAATGTTCTTCTGATCAATATATTGACCTTGAATTACTACAGGAACAGAGCATGATCACTAATGCTAGGGAGGAGTTCTTTTCTTAGCATCCCATGTGGCCTCTTTGAGTGCCGTAGCTTGGGAAGTAATTTTTGTATCCACCATAAAATAGATAGATAGATAGATAGATAGATAGATAGATAGATAGATAGATAGATAGATAGATAGGCAGTTGGTTTAAACTGCGGTTAACCTCTTCATTAATTTTCACTTGGCAAACTGAATTTTCACTTATCTCAGTGAATGAGGTGAAAGTAAAAATTCACTTTGCAAATAATACCCAATCATGAGCAAGGAAAATTTTAAAAAAACTATTTTTGCTAGACAGCACAACTTCACCTCATTAATTAACCTAGGTGAAAATTCCCTTTGCAGAGGATATTCACTTGGTTTAGTGAATGATTAAAAATTATTCAAGCATTCAGTCATGTCTGAGCATAAACATTTTCATTTACCTTTCCTTAATTGGGTAATCTTCAAAGAGTTCATATTGATTTACTAAGATAAGGGGAAGTTCACTTCGAAAGTGAACATGCTCTACTATTTTTTTGTTTTTTGTTTTAAAACAAAATAATTGTAAAGATTGCATAGTTGTGATACTATGCAGGACCTCACATTTAGCCTGTGTAATATTTTATAGATGTGAAACAGCACCATTTACATTGCAGGATTGTCAATGCAGTTGCAAATGTTGCTTCTTGTCCATTGAGAGTCAGCGACAGTAGGAATGCTATGGGAATCTAATGTGAACAGCTAATCTATTTTGACAAGGTGTTTCCACATTATCAGAGTAAGTATGGACTGAACATCGTTGCACAAATAATCTTCAAATTTTCTTTTCATGTGCCGACATTGTCTACAATCTAACTACTACTTAAACTGCAACTAAAGCCTCATGTGTGACAGTCTCAACAAGTCTTAAATCCAGTTACCAAGCGATGCACAAGCCGCATAAAGAAACCAAAAAAACTGTCATTACCTTCCCTAAATAAGCCAAATTCTCCTTAAATTGTGCCTCACATGTTTCCCCTTCCAGACACTGCAGCTCGCAGTGGGAGGGTATTAGTAACAGAGGCAGTGCTGTGAATCCAAAAAGCAGTGGGCAGAACTAGAGATTGCCAGGTACTGATTGACAGGCTTGTGAATCAACGTTAACAATGCTGATCACCAAAATGTTTTCATCACAGTGTAGTGCAAGTAGGGAACAGCCTACATAGTAATGGCAAACGTACTCTGAATTCAGGAGCAGTGCAGCATGGTTGTCACACCATCACAAGAAACAGCATTTGGTGGACTTTCTGGTAGGCTCAACAGAACTTTAAAAGGGCACATACACTCAAAATTAAGTGATACATATTTTTTATTGGGAGGCCATAGTTATACTTTAAAGTGTATTTTTTTTCATAGCATCCCATGTATCTCATATGAGTTTAGATAGGCAATCCATTTGAACTGCGGTTAACTCCCTTTTGACCACATTATAGCTTTTTGTAATCCACATTAAAATGTCTCTTGCCAAAAGAACGTCATTAACTTTGCAGCAGAGAACTAGGAATGCATAACTGTGTGTGTAATTATTTCTCAGGACCGATGTAAAACTGGAAAAATAGTAATACAGTTACTGTCAAGTGAACTTGGTCTGGGCATTTAAGCTTTTAAAAAGATCACAAACTGGGAGCATGTACAAAAAAAAAGTGATATTAAAGTTAAAAGGTGTTTAAACTATTTCAAATGCTGATTAAATCACTTACAATGGCTGCTGCTCCTTGATTTTCAAAAGTTTTAGTTTTCTACAGAATCACTTGGTCCCCTGAGCACTGGCCCTAATATCCTGTTTTAGGGTGGCTCCTTCCCCTTGTAGGAGCCTATGGTGCCACTCTTGTGTGTGCTTGTAAGCTGTGTGTGTCTCCACCAACATACAGGCACAGCAAGGCAAGCAAATCCCCTGATCCTCCTTCCTCATTTTTCCAGCCGAAGGTCAGTTGCTGTAGACTGTAGACTGCAGTAGACTGTAGAAGTAGAAGGTCAGTTGCTGTAGACTGTCTCTTGTGATTTTGTACTTGATAGGAAGTTAAGGGAAGCTGTGTTAAGAAAGTTGGAGTGAGCTGTTTGGAAACATGATGACTGTACCTGCTCGGGAAACACTTTTCTAGGCAATGTATATTTGATCTGAATTTATTGTAAAACAAAATCGAGAGTTTAATACTTCTTAAGCCTAGTGGTTATAAGAAACGTTGGACTGCACAATGAAATAAGCAGATGGGACAATTACCTTAAAAGCATGCACTGTGTGTTTTTATAATAGCACAGATTTTATCATAGCACTGATAATTGCACAGATTGTCTGCTTGCCAGACCATCATTTCCCTCTTCATACACCAGGAGAGCCCAAAACTGCTTTGCTAAGAGTAGAACCTATTTTTCCACCTTGTAAAACTAGACTGAAACCTGCCATAGGATCAAACATAAAATATATGGTGTGCAACATCTAATTGATGGATTCATTTGTTTTATCATTCTAATATTTTCTAAAGCAATAAAATTGTTTTTCTTTTCCCACGAAAATGGCACCGTACTACATGTATAATCTGGCTAGAAAGTTTTATTTACACAGGTTACATCAGTCCCGGTCAGTCAAAACGTAGAGCTGATTCATCTCAAATTGCAGACCTCAACTGACACTGATGTTCCCTGATGTAAACTGATTGTCATCAGTTTTCTTCCACACTGCTATAGAGATGCATTGTTGCCGATTTCCCATCTGCAAATGGAGGGTTGGTAAACCTGATAACCTGAACGCTCGTGTGAAAGGGGCCTTTTACTCCATTATAGACTTTTACACTTAGCTTTGTTACTTGTACTTTATATTATGTGTGTTTATGTAACCTGACAAAGCAGATATGTGTGGAACCCCCTTGCTCCAGTTCTGCTATTACCCTATGATGCTGTCTTGTTTCCAGCTTGCCCAGAGCTATCCAGCCATTAGTCTTCACCAGTGAGAAAGGATATTTTTTTACTATTTATGAAATAGTTTTAAGCACGTATAATAAAGTAGGGTACCTGTAGAGTGGTGCACATTTATTACTTTTTATTCATAATTTCAGTTATTTTTTTACAATATAATTGTCTCCCTTATTTGCATATTTCATATCATTCCACTTGTGATTAGGGGTAGATTTAGCGACTATTTATTTAGTATGTGCATACCAGTTGAAGTGATCAGTTCGCTTTTTTAGCTAAATACTATTTGGCATATTTTGATTGGAGGCATGTTTGGTGGGTCTGCTTCTAACTGTTTTTATGTGTTATATGTGTAGGGGGTATTACATGTGAGGGGTGTCCATACAGTCTTACCTTTATAGTGGTTTTGTGATTTTATATGGTGTGGACATTTTATCAGGGACAATTGAGGTTGTAGTAGTTTGCATAGCGGCCCTGCACACCTAGCAATGCCAGTTATTTTTTTAATTAGTATATTATTATTGTCATAGCCTTTAACACATTATTCCAGCCTTTGTTTTGACTATTTTTGACATATTCCACACATATATAATGTCTACACTTAAACTTCACTGAATAAATTAGAAGACTCTGAACCCCATGGGATATTAGAAGGAAAATATAATGAATCAATCTTATTTCAATTGTGTTTTGTATTCTATAAATTTTTGTTTAAATCTTTTATCTAAAGTTAATAATAAAGGCAACATTTGTCTGACTTAACCCTCAGCCATCTGATGAACCACTGATCTAATGTCCTATTGCTAAAAAGGGTTAGAGGTGCACTGAAATGAAAATTCCAAAAACGAACCCGAAATTTAAAAAAATGTCAGACCGAAACCGAAAACGAAAAAGTTTTTTTTAGAGCTTTAAAGTAGAAAATAAAAATATTTAATAAAAATAAATAAAAATATTTTTATTTTTTACTTTACTGCTGGAGGCTTCGGGGAAATATTAGGCGTCACTGAGCACCTAAGACCATGCCAGTGGTGGGAACTTCTTCAGTGCCTAAACACTGAGCAATGGAAGAAGGGGGACCCATGTTCCTCTGAACTATTTTACCCCTACAGGAAATATTGTAGCACGTGTAACTTTGTGTGTGGCTTTTTTTACAGGTCTGTTGGCTGCATTCTTCATGAAATATGCTGCTTGGAACATGCTTTTACTGGCCACAGCTTTTTAGCTGTTGTTTTGAAAATTGTGGAAGGTCCAACACCATCTCTACCTGATCGGTACCCTAATGAGCTTAATTTTATAATGAGCAGGTATTGCATTGCTTACAGACCATTTATGTTTTCTTTCTAACAAGCAGATGTACTTATATCAATTACTTTTTTACTTTTCAGAATGCTGAACAAAGATGCGTTACTTCGTCCACGAGCGGTGGAAATTTTACAGATTCCATATATACTAGACCAGCTACAGGTATGCAATAAATAACTGTTACAAAACATTTGATATTGTGAAAATAGTAAATAAAAATCGATTTGCCTTTTTTAGCCAGCAAAAGATCTGGCAGGACTATGATAGTGCTAAACAGACTGAAATACTACAATGCAGGCACTCTAGTATGAACATTTTCTGGAGACTTCTTAGTAGTGTTCTCTTAGTAGAGAATTGAACTGCCTCCTTTTGCCCCCAGTACCTTCCAGTTGGAAAGTAAGAGTCATAATGACAGTAAGAGAGAAAAAAGGTGCAAGAGGTAGGATGGGGCAGGCCTCCTCTCGACACAACCAAGAAGGTAGGTGAAGATGCCTCCATTGTAATGTTGTAGTCTAGTTAGTACCATTATTGACAGGTTTTCTTTAAAGTGACACTAAACTTAAAAATGCATTCAAGTACCCTATTAACAAAAATGCAGCTTATTTGTGCATCAAATCATCTCTGAATTCGTGCTGACACTGTCCTTCCTTCTGGATGGTGCCTACTTTTGTTCCCTATGGTCCCTGTGTGTGTTGTAAAGTAGCCACCGCTCCAAGCTTACTGCTGCGATGGAATAGAATCTCACTATAAATCAATAAAATAAATATGAGATTGTAGTCCATCACAGGAGTGAGCTTGGAGCACTTGCTACTTTACAACACACACAGGGACCATAGGGAACAAAAGTAGGCACCATCCAGAAGGAAGGACAGTGTCAGCACGAATTCAGAGATGATTTGATGCACAAATAAGCTGCATTTTTGTTAATAGGGTACTTGAATGCATTTTTAAGTTTAGTGTCACTTTAATTACTAATTATTTTCCATTTGGAAAAAGTTGTGCATAATTATCCCTTAGTAATCTTGAAACTATGAAAAATGTTTCCATTGCTGTGTGTTAACCTGCTTAATGTGTTTGTCAGAACATTCCTATCATTAAAGCAAAATGCATTTTACAGTGCAACTGAAGCCAAAACTGTCAGGCTTTTATTGCTGTCTGTATCTTTGTTATGCAGATTAAGACCAAAGGTAACCCATCGCTCTCTTGAACGGAAGTCCCAATAGTAGGGTGGGTTCGTTAGCAATAGCAGATGCCTCTGCAGATTAAGTAAATTCAACTAGAAAGTCACTCGCACTCCAAAACGATGCCCTGTCAATCTCTTTATTGACTGTGGTAGTGTGACATCTCAAAGCTTTGAGATGTCACACTACCACAGTCAATAAAGAATTGACAGGGCATCGTTTTGAAGTGCGAGTGACTTTCTACTTGAATTTGTTATGCAGATTATCCCTTTCTATATCTCCCTCTCTCTGTCCTGGTAACACGGAATAGATGGGAAATCTTCACTTTGGGGGGATTTTCTTACACTTCCTGTTACTAGCAGGCAGGAAGTGATTGGAAATCTCCCCAATGGGACATAGATGACAAAAAAAAGATGGCAGGGGTCATAACCCCTCCCATACTCTATCAAAAATGTTTAAAAAAAAAAAAGACCAGTTCTACTTTAATTTGTGCCTATTATATTTGACTGGAGTTCAGTTTAAAGAATAACATTTCTTGATAAAATAAATCATATGGTCCTTGTGTAGAAAGGTGTTGCTGGGCCCTAAATATATTAGAGAGCACTAATGTAAATCATCAAAGTTGTCTTTTGAAAAAAATATTACTTTTACGTATGCGGTGGCACAGACAACGTGAAAATGTAATTATTGCATTTCCTCTTCTAGTGAAAATGATGAATAGATTTTTAATGTAATGTATTTATCTGCTGTGTATATTGTCATTTGTCCATAACTGCTGGTGTATGCAGTTTGTATCGTGAGTGAGCATCATTTATTTGAAAGAAATTCTAAAAATCTGATTACTGTTGGTGTATTTGCTTAGCCTTGGAAGCAGCTTTCGTGTTGGGGATTAATTAAGTACAATCCATGGAAATAACGCCATGTTTGTTCTCTGTAATTGCAAAATTCAGCTAAACAAACCAAACTCCATTGTGGACATAAAGCTTGTGGATTTACAAGAAAATACATCGGTAGATATTGTTTGTCTACTTGTCAGTGTTTCCTTTCTAAACTGTCTGATGTCTGCTCATGAGAAAGGCCTCTTTCACACTGGCTGATTAGTACAGAATCCATGCACAGATCCTCTCCTGATCACAGCAGTACAGAGCTGATGTCACTGCTGTGACATTCGTGTCCATACAGTCATCTTGCAATGTAGGAAGAAAATGCAGTTACCGAACCCCATGTCAATCTATGGAGAATCGGATGTAAACGGACATGTGTCCGTTTACATCAGATTAGCCCCGATCCAGCACGGTCTGGTGAAACCGAAAATACATACTTTATCGGTAGATATTATCGGTAGACCCGATCGGACTGCCTGTGTGAAAGGGGCCTTATTAAGAAGATTTGAGATGAATGAATTATGATACAAGTGTTTGTATCTCACAGGGACCAATCAAATTCTGCCAGATTCCTAGAAAACGAGAAGGAAGTATTGCAGTGGTTACTTTTACCCATTAGCATTGTTCATTTTCTACACACTCTTATAATTAGATTATATGTGTGCTGTATAAAAGTCCCTAAATAATTTGCTTTGTTCCTTCTTCAAGTCACCAGAGTTTTTCTTATGACTAGTCACCTTAAAGAATATTCTGAACTATATTAAAAGCTTAGTTTTGAAGACGATTGTGGCCAAAGTGTTGTTTTTTTGTTATTTTTAGCTAGAGTGAAGAAGGTTTAGAATCACGGTCAGGTTTTTATTACTCTGTGTTTTCTGCAGCCCTGCCACTGGGACAAGGTGTGAGAACAATCTGTCCAAAGGAGAAACAAGCAATAAAAGAATGTTTTTTAGAGTGGGAAACAGAATCTCTGACTATGTTTTAGTTCTGTCTGGAATTTCATCATGCAGAGTGTCAATATGACCAGGGGGGAGTAAGAAAGTCTGCTTGTTTTGGATGCAGACGGCATTAAGCCATAAGCCTGGACAGGAGGTAAACTTTAAAGTTGAACTCCATACACAAAAAGTTAATTTAAATATATTCCTCAATAACCACAAAGGTTATAAATCCACAATGTGTGCACGGGTGTGCACGGAAGGTCTTTGTAAACCCAGTAATTGCTTTGTAATAGTACCAGTGATATCATTACTGTTGTACACATAACCTATGCAGAGAGCAGAGCTGTGGGAGGGACCCAGCAGGCCCCAACCGCTGCCTTCCGAAAGCTAAAGGAGGGCGTGGAGACAAGACCAGTCACCCTGCACAAAGAAGCTTCAGCACAAAATGCTAATTTTTACACTGGATTACAGCACAGATCTGGAAATAATACACAAAGCACACAGAGGTTTAAGTAAGAATACACATGCCTCTTGTATTTAGACAATATTTGCTTGTCCCGGAGTTCAGGTTTAAATGGTGTTCACTAAATAGAATCTAGAATCTGAAGGTGACTGGCAATTAATCTAGGGTTTGGTGTAGAGATGAGGGATTAGCTCTGCTCTGATGCACTTAATTTAAATCAGAGTGATTCAGGTGGAACAAGTCCGCAAACTATTTTTCTTGGCCAAACTGACCAAAGAAAAGGGAGAGTAGAGATTGCTGAAATCATTACTTCCGTTGTTTTCTTTCCTGCAGCCAGGTCCGTCTGTGTGCATTGCCTGAACTGGTAAATAGCAGGGACGCCTACTTTAGAGTAAAGAGTCTGTCCCTATGCCTTTACATTAACCAAAAGGTTTTTTTTAAGAGTATTGTTTCTTAATAGCTCCTATTCATTGTCAGCCATTTTGTGTTGGATCCCTTCCGTTAGTGGATCATATTTATGGAATGTTGCTTTTTGTTTTTTAGAAAGTACAATGGAAGCTTTATGGATCTATATTTGAACATGACAAAACAATCATCTGTCAGAAGGAAGCTGACCAAATCAGGAATGCAGTGTAAGTAATACAAATAAATTTAAAAACCTTTTATATTCTTTACATCTGGACATTCCCTTCAGAGTTGGTTATTTCTGTATATCAAACATTACCTTCATTAGGTAGTATATCAAATGATTCAGCATTGCTCATTTGGATATGCCTTGTTCTTTTCTTTTGGCATTCACATCAAATCCAGGCAATTTTTCTCAGTGGACATTGTGAGTAGTACAGACTAAATTCTGCTTAGTAATATAAAGCTTAAACTTTTATTGTTTAAAGCAATGTATGCAAAAGAACCAGGTGAAAGCGGTTCTGATATTTGAAAAGATCTCAGCAACACTGCTGAAAAAACTACCCCCTGGGATCCTTAGATCAAACAGCTCCCAACTTTAATATACGCTCCTTCATATTTGAATGTTCTGGTGTGGCTGGATGGCAGCTGACTTAGAGACCTTCCCGCTCCCTTTTCCAAACCTTGGTTCCTTGCTTTCCCTCCTTTCTGCTTTCTTCTTTTTCTCATCTTTCCTCTTCTTTGTTCTTCTGTTCTTTGCAATGGCTTTTGCTATTTCCTTACTTGGTTGCTGTGCTTTCTTTTTCTGTTTATTTTTTCTGGTGTGCTACCTCAAAACTGATCATTGCTGCCCATAGCCTTGTGGTTTCCATTTTCCTTAGCCAATGGGTAACATTTCATTCTGCAAGGTAGACCTTTTTAAGATCGATCTACATGTGGGTGGCAGGTTGATATATGTTAAGACATACAATGGACATTGTTTGTATCCTCATTGAAACACTGTATTTTTTGGCATTATTTGACCTTTTTAAGCATTATGTTAATTTGCAATGTGAGAAGTAAACTAGAATAAAACCTATTGCAAAGAAAGAAATGGATGCACACCCTTTTCATCCACCAATATGCCCCCTGACAGCATCCTATTAAATAGATGTGTGTCCACTGCACACACCAACTATAAAATGGAAAAGGTTTGTTTCAAAAAAATATAAAATATTGTTATATATTTATATATATTATATAATCCTTAGCACGTTACTTCCATTTAAAAGTCATTTTGAGGCTTTTGAAATCTGCGGCTTTTATTAAAATGCCTGATACACCTCTACCTCATCTCTACGATTAAGCCTGAATGGGTGAAAGACATTAGAGGGGGCGGTTGAAGGATGGGGTTGACTAATTTGACCAGGATGTAAGGACAGTAATAAATATATGTTTGGTGCATCTATGGAGTGCAGTTTTTCCTTTTTGCTTCAAGCTAGGCTGGAGCACAGGTGAGCTTAGTATCTGCACCCTTGATGCTTCCAGAGAAGGGAATCAGAGAGATGATATGCTCATTCAGAAACTGCAACTAATAAACCTGCCAGGAAAATCCTTATCCAGACTCATCTTGTTGTTAGGTCACAGTGCTCTGTCCCAGTCTCCAAATTGCTTTTTTTGGATTGTCCCCTTGTCACACTTCTGGGGAGACTATAAGCAGCTGTGCCTTTGTCACCAGTATGAAACCAGTCTTGAGCACTGACATGCACCTGTCCCTGATGTGCATGCATGTAGACACTAAGTGGCTGCAGAGAGGTTGGAATAGAACATCTTAAAGATACAAATAAGATACAGTATAAATAATTATTAATTATTTTAGGTTATCCATAGTGGGTTAATGTCTGGTCCATTACAATGAAAGATTTATTAGGTTTGATTTACTAAAGGCAAATGGGCTGTTTATATTTCAAGGGAATTTTCACTTAGCTTAGTGAGTCTGCTAAAAGTTCAAGAATACCCAATCATGTGCAAGATAAAAAAAAAACAGTAATTTTGTTTGCGGATGATTTGATGATGGCAGTCAACAGAATTTTACCTCATTTACTAAGGTAAGGGAAACATACCCTTGCAAAGTGATGTTGCCTTGCAAAGTGAACAGTCTACTTGCCTTTAGTAAGTCAACCCCCTTATCTGCAAGTTCTAGCTATACCCCGGTATCAGGGACTAAAAGCAGGTGGTATACTCCTGCCTTTTAATGCAATGTGCTATAAATGCAAAACTTATCAGCAATAGTTGTAAGAAAATGAATATACTGAAAATAAACACATTAAAATTATATTAATGTTAATGAACAATTAAGTTCTACTGTTGGTACTAAGATAGAGTAGTTGTTGGAGAAAGAGAAACACACAACATTTTTTTTGCAAAAAATATATTGTGCATAAATGAAGATGCAACTGTTGAATGACACAATTACATTCAAACACAATAACAAAAAAAACACAATCAAGGCCAAAGTTATGTCAGAGAGACATTACCTAATTATAGCTACTGCTGTCATCAAGCCTACATAACAAATGATTAACAATACCATCAGGGCCAGTCTCTATGTGAGAGAGAAAATATTCAGACATAGCAACCCAATAGAATACCAAGCCTCTTTGATCTTCAATGCCATCCATTCTCAGTCCTTGCTATTGAAGTTCTGCTATCTCTCTGCCATCATTATTATAGTAATACCACAGAGTCAACCTGAATTATCTTATCACCTCTATGCAAATAACTAACAAAGCAATTCCCTTGACAGACCTTTTCTCTTGGAATGCATTTCTGTGCTGCAATATGATTGTACACACTAATTTCCTGTTGTGGACAGCTGCCCATAAAAGGTCTCTGTTCATAACTCGGAAATGCAGGAATGACCAATGTCCAAACATAAAGATTTTTTTTCTCCAAGATTGCTATCTATTCAAGCCTAGATAACTGAAGCCAAGAGACCTGTTCATATGCTAGTTTGCGGACTGGATTTGGGGTGGATTTGCTGAAGGGAAATAAACTGCTCACTTTGCAAGGAAATGTTCAGGAATTTTCATTTAGCTTAGTGAATGAGATGAAGCTCCATCATCCAGTCATGTGCAAGCAGAAATGCTGTTTTGTTTTTACTTCCCTTGCACATGATTGGGTATTCTTTGCAAAATGAATTTTCACCATATTTATTAATGGTGGCCATACACTGCTCTATTTTTCTCGATCAACCCATGGGCTGAATGGAGAAAATAGAGTAGATTCCTCCATTAACACTATGAGTGTGTCGATCGAGGAATCCTGCTGTTTGCATTAAATACCCGAACGGAGCCAGCAGCTCGTTGGCTGCCGTCCCCAGTTGTACGAAGGTTTTCCATCTGGCTCCTTCGATCAGCTGATTGAGGGATGCCGGCCAAAAGGGTACCAACAGCGGCACACACTGTGTGAATTTGCACAGTGTATGGGCACCCTAAGCTTTGGAAAAATTCCCTTGCAAAGTGAACAGCCTGTTTGTCTTCAGTAAAGTCCCTTATAATTCCAGCTAGATTTGATCGTAAAGATCTTCTAAGGAGATTTAAGATGCTGCAGATAAATCCCCAAACATCCCCCTAACAATGAAATATTAGCTTTTGGAGAACCAGCCCTATAAGTTGCTTGTTTTGTAGGTTTTTATTTTTTAACATAAAACTTCACTATGTTATAGCTATTATGTCTAAATATCCATAAGTATTACATTTTAGATGACTACTGCCGCTAGCTGAGGTTTAATAAGAAAACAAACATTTTGTATGTTGATGTAAAAATAGTCTGCACTTGACATCATATGCACTATTTTTACCCAATATGTATTTTACAATAATTACCTTTTAATGCTTTTTTTTTTTTAGTAACTTGTGTTTCATTCTATGGTCCATCATTTTTTTGATTTACATAGACTTTTCCATAATTATTTTTACCCAATGTCATTTTTCAAAGTAAGACTTAAACAGATTACAATGAAATGAAAGTTATTTAAGCAAATTATACTTATTATTCATGGTTCACCTGCAGTGTCATTAATAATGCTCGGTGCTGTGAGTCCGTTAAGCTGACATAATGTTCAAACTAATCTTGGAAATAGACTTTGATATTGTAGAATGATGTGAAGGAGTGACGTCTGCAAGTTTCCTGCTGAGGACTGTTCTCTTGTGAATGTAGTAAAGATTACAAGCTCTGTACGTTGGATTTTTGTTTCTTTTATAGTCAGAGAAAGTTCCATCTTCAAACTCTTCGCGAGCTTTCAGAGGTCCAGAAGATGACCCCAAGAGAAAGAATGAGGTTACGAAAGCAGAATGCTGCAGATGATAAGGCAAGAAGACTGAAGTAAGCAATACATACATATCACATGACATGAATAAGACTCATGAATCCTCTTTGCCCTCATTACTTTGACCTCATTACTTTTCCCTCAAGTCATCTAATGTTTCTAAAATCAGAATTCAATAGACGTACAACTCTTCAAAACTCAGCTTCAGATATATGTAAGCTTAAAAACGCAAATGATCATTTCAAGTGAATGTCTTATGTCCAACAGGGTGTATAAATTAACTGTCCAAGTCAAAGAGCCTCAACTTCTCTCAAAGTTAAGAATAGTCCCTGCCCCCTCCTACTGCTAATGCTACATCTGGTCATTCAACCTCAGTGGATGGTGGAGGGTTTGCTTTGACAATTAAATGAAAGGGTGTGAGGTTTAGCGCAGGGATAGAAATAGATGTACATTATAACTGGATGACATTTGCTTTGTTTAAACAGTGTAGGTTATATTACCAAAGCTAACATACCATAATAAGGAGACTTAGGGGTCTATTCACGAAGCTGCCGAAGGATCTAGCCGTAGCTTCGGCTAGCTTCGGCCCCAGGACCACTTCAGTTCAGTAGACCCGAAGGGGTGCTGTACGGGCTATTCACTATAGCCCGTACAGCTCCCGAACGTGGCCGAGCGGCTCAGTCGAGCCGAATGCATATGCCGCGGCTGAGCCGCACTGAAAGCCGAAGCTGGCTGAGCGGCTGGCCATTGGCCGGTCGACAGCCTGCTTCTGACAGCTGGGCAGAGCCAGCCGTGATCTTACGGCTGTCTCCGTCCACTTGCAGAGAGATCAGCGTCCCTGGTTACCTGCTAACCAGGGACACTGATCTCCAGACAGCTAACTCTCCCGCAGAACGGCCGGACAATAGAAAACTGTTGGGTGGAGCTAGCTGTCATTGCTAGCTCCGCACAATCGTTTTCTATTTACTTTTTTTTAACCTTTTTTATTATTTTTCTGTTCTGCTCGGTCCCTCAGAGGGACTGAGCAGAACAGCCGAGTGGCATTCGGCTATTCACTCACTGCTGTTCGGCTTCTATAAGAATAGACCGAACAGCAGCGAGTAGCCGGCCGGAGGTTCGGCTTAGCCGATCCAGATGTTGGATCGGCTGAGTCGAACTCCTCCTGCACTTCGGGTCGGCCGAACATGCTGAGCATGTTTGGCCGACCCTAAGCCACGTGAAGCCACCCGATGTACGGCTGAAATCAGCCGTACCAGCCTGAAGTGAATAGCTGAACAGTGTTCGGCTCACTTCACTTCAGGTCGGTCTTTCACTTGGCTGCCTACGGCAGCTTAGTGAGTAGACCACTCATTTTTTTTAAAAGTGACATTCATTTCCAATGTAGTCCAATGCGATTTGAAAACTACAGTCACATGTCTAAAATAAAGCTCCTTATCCTTGTGTTGAAGCCTTGTGAATGGAGCTTTGTGTATGATAGAATACTATTTTTACCCCAGCCTCTTTCAACAGCTTCTGTCTACATGCAATTCTCTCCAGTGCCGTCTGCATATTATCATTGAGGACAGGCTGCCTGATAGTTGACAACTGGTGGACCATGCATGTGCAATGTTTTTTGATGCAGCACTGCTAGTCTCCACAGGGGCATATGTGACAGGATAAGAGTGCAGGAGAAGAGTTGGGAGACATTTGACACCCCAAAACAGGAAGTGTCTGAAAAAGGACTCAATCTCTTTTTCTATTTTAAATGGGAAATATCAGGGGACTGTTTAGAACCCCAATATTTCCCTGAAGCCCCTAAAAGTAAAGTAAAAAATTAAAATATTTAATAAAAAATTAATAAATAAATAAATATAAATATAAAAATGTAAAAATTCTCCCACCGATTGGATGATGACAGGCTTCCTCACCAGTCACTCCTGACTGGTGAGGAAGCCTGTCAGTCATCCAATCGGCCAATCAGCGGGAGAAGAGGTCAGAATGGAACAGATGACTGAGGACTTGGAGGAGGAGTTCGCGGCCATCTTGCTTCATTGAAGACGCGATGGAGGTCCTGTGTGCGGCGGATTCGGGTCCCTGAAAATGGTGGACGCGGCACAGGTACTCGTTTTTTGTATCGGAGTATTTGCACGAGTACGAGTACTCATGCAAATACTCGGTATCGCCGCCGATATCGATGCTTGTATCGGTATCGGTGCATCCCTAATAAATACCAAAGGGAAATGTTAGGTTCTAATTTTATCTTCTTACATATATGTTTGTATGTATGGTTTTTATCTATTATTGATATTGATCTGGCACTGGGATTTTGGTGCTGTATGGTTTCAATGCAAGAACCAAATGTTTTAGACTCAGGTAGTTTCCTGCCGTATGATAAGGGTAGTATGTATGGGTGATTCAGGGGCCTTTGACACTTTGCTTTACTTGTACATTGTGTACTCTATCTCTACGCACACACAGTAATGTATGTTATGTCACGCAATGCATTGTGTTAAGGCAGACTATTCAATTTGAATGGATTGCCAACACAGAATGGACACACGGAGCATTTTTTCCAGATGCCTCACATCTCAATCTCGTGATACCACAATGCACCTCAACAGCAAAAGTGTAAAGGGGCCCTTTAGTGTTAGGGCATAGCTGGGCTTTACATTTGGTTATTCTTAGGCTGTTTTTTTTTTTAATGGATTAGATTGTGGTGGTGGCAAGGGTGTGGGGTTGATTTACTAAAGTTTCCCCTTAGCTTAGTGAATGAGTTCAATCTTTGCTGACTTCCATCATCCAATCACATGCAAGCAAAAACACGGTTTTGTTTATTTTCCTTGATTGTCATTAAATGTTTTTTTACAAAGTGAATTTTCACCACCCTTACTAAGCTAAGGGAAAATGTCCGTGCACAGTGAAAAGCCTATTTGCCTTTAATAAATCAACCATGCAGGGCTTTGGCTCCACCAGCAGCTTATACTTAACTTCCTTTTGCTATATTTGACCTCCAAGAATGAAGAGAGAGAAAAGTGTAAGCTATTAGCTGTAACTTAGGTTAAACTCAACCTGCTGCTTTATCCTGCATAAGCAAATCACCCAAAGGCTCACTTTATGGGGTTAAGTTAAAGAGACCCTGCCATCAACTTAACAATTGCAGGTAAAAGCACAAACAATAAAGTATTTTAAATTCTCACTTGCAGTACTTTTCATTTCCATAAATTATTTGTTATTCAGTTGCAATGTGCCTTTGGAATTGCTAAAAAAATGGACTACTCCAGGAGAGTCAAAACTCTAGCACATCCCCCTCCCTACTCGCATTTCATAGCCCTCTCCTATTTGGGGAGTGTGTAATTGCTCTCTGTGCTGGTCCAGCTCCTGCACCCCTCACCTCCCTACATGACCCTTTATGTAGAAGCTAAGGGAGGAGCATAGTGGAATACTTTAGAGCCTTGGTTCTCAGCTGGTGGGTTGTGACCTAATAGTGGATCACGCGACCCCGTGTTCAGTGGGTCGCCACGTACCTGCCACTTTTCTAGGTGAGAGGCTTCTCAGCCTCCCCCTAGCGCAGCAATGTCAGTTCTTGCGCTGAGCAGACATTCAGAATTTGCTGCCTGGCGCCAGGTGTAAGCTTGAAGTGCGGTGGCCTGGAGCTATGGCCGAGAGGGAGCTTGATCCATACATGCATTGCTTACAGCTGCCTAACGTGCCCTGTAGAGGTGCCTGGACCGGAGTGACATCACATTCTGGCTCCTGTCACCTGTACAGGGCGCAGAAGGGACAAGCAATGCACATATGGATGAAGCTCCGTCACAGCACAGCAGCCCTCACTGGACCCCTTGCTGAGTATCCACTCCAGTTCTCGTAAGGTAGGAAGACTGGGTAGATCATAAAAAAAATGTTTAAACATTTTTGGGGAGTGTGTATGTCAGTGTTTTTGAGGTCCTGTTCACACTAGTACAGTGCGTTAATCGAACAGTCCTGTTCGCACTGTATCACGCAATCACACCTACTACATGTTCTGGTGTGGGAGGTACGTTGCCTTGCCATTCATTTGAATAACACCCCAAACACACCTCCCGCCCACATTTCAGTCGCCTGCACCGGATTGCACGGTACTGCAATGCCGTGCAGTGCAACTTGGGCCGCAACTTAATGACCAAGGTTACACAGGTTGAGAACCACTGTTATAGAGTGTCTATGGAGTGACAGCTCTGAGTCTGCTGGAGCTGCTGACATCACATCCAAGATGGTGGTGGCATTCAGCAGCAGCCTCTGAGCTTTTGTATGTTAACATAAGTAAGGCTTTTACAGGTAAATAACATGCATAAAATAAGTTAAATGCACATGTAATCTTATGGGTTACATTAAGATTTACTTTAAATAAATTATCTGGTGACGGGGTCTCTTTAGGTGTTGGGGTTGGGGGATAATACTGTATGTAGGTTAATGGTTAAGTGTTAGGGATGGGAGTATTTGCACTGATTCTCTGTACCAGGAGCCAAAGCCTGTTTCCAGTAAGAGCTATGCAAATAGGGTAAATACCCTTTGTTTAGGAAGTTCTGAAATTTTGAAGATACTCAAGTAGAAACTAATTTTTTTCTAAATTATGGCAGAATAAATTGCATTTCAGATTCAAACAAGCTTTGCTAACTTAAATTTACATTTCGTATTTTAGGCAAATTGCAGAGGAAAAATATCATGAAAATCAGAAGAGAAAACAGGAATTGAGGTCTCGGAATTTTCAGCAGCTTAGTATTGATGTGCTCCATGTAAGTATTTTTTTTTAATAGATAGACATTTAGCAATTTTCTGGTAGACATGGAACAATTTAAAGTGTTTTATGTCTAATACATGCATATTTTCCCTGTTTTGACTCTTAAAACATACTACAAGTACACAAAAAGTCCTCTTGCTTCTGCTAGAAATCCAGTGAGCTTGCAACTTCCTGCACACTACCTATCCCATCTACCTGCCCTATCTACCTCTACCCATAAAACTCCAAACATGCCCTGCCCAGTTCTCAGTCCGTAGCAAACAGCCTAGGATGGTAACACACCTCTATATTTACAGTATAGTGAGACAGTTCCAACCCTAGGACAGGATCTGTATTACTGGCAGGATCACCTGGTACAAATAAAGGGGAAAAAAACTAAAAAAAAGTATATGGACTGGTAAGCTTTAATATACTGTATTTAGTTTCAAAGGATTTTCTGATCTCCCTCGAACCAGCTGCAGATACCCGCTGTCTCTGTCCGCACTGGGGACAGCGAAGCCTGAGGTAGCTGGCAGTGAAGGGGTGGGTGCACACACCCCAGGGGCAAACATCTGATCGGGTGGCTGTAGAGTAGAACACTTGTATGTGACAGTATGTAACGTAGCACACTACAATGCATGGTAGTGTGTTACAGCTGATTGTGGTGCGCTGAAACACACATCCCCTGGCAAGGTGTGTTGTGGCATTCAGATTCAATGGCACTGCATAGCACCAATGCTGGTTCTACCGTGTGCTATTCATAGGAGGGCCTTTGGAGCTGTACAGAGCAGTGTGGGCAGCTACTGACTCTATTACAGAGAAGAGAAAATAGTCCAACAATAGCCTAGGAACATTCGATTAGAAGAGAACACATGTAAAAAACATTCAATTTTGCCCAGCTGGTTAGTTCACACAGAATTAAAGTATGTGGATGCAGAATTTTTTAAGGGATAGACCACCAAGTGTGTTTAGTTTAAGCTTTATAAAGAGAGCAGGCTTGTTCAGCAAAGCAGTGATGACTAGTCTGGTAAAAGTGAAAAGGAGCCCAGAGCTACTCCTGCAGGCTAGGAAAATGGGAACCTGAAATTTTTAAATCAATTGTTCTAGAATTACCAGACTAAAAAAAAGAAAATAAATATTTTTGTAATTTTATTGGTTTTTGTCCTGAACAGAATAAATGAAGGAAATATTCTGTTCAGGCAGCAGTACATGGCACTTGCTTCCAATTTATACCAATAGCTTAATACAACTGTGAATTAGGTAAACATGTATAGAAAACCAGTTGCATATCTAGTTGTTTATCTTAGAGGATAATTTGCTTATTTTGAAATTCATTTTTTACATTTATGAGTATGCTACAACTACGGTATATGTGTCAAAAACATAGGCTTAGAGGAAAGTGGAGTGTGACATAATAGCTTTATGGAGATTGTTTTATAAATTGGAATTCTATCTGGGCTACTGTAGAAGTATTGGGCATTTGGCAGTGTTTGACCTTTCATTTGCATAGTTTGCATAATTGGTTATTTATGATATTTATTTTGTGTTCTTCATACATAGTGTAACAGATGTAGTGTGCGATTGATCTCAGAAGAAAATCTAATTTACAGGGTTATTTGGACCTAAATCATATGGTGCAAGGTACGGTGGGGGAAGCAATGTGTGCTAACTGCATCATAGGTCATGCAATTAGGTCTGCACTGATAATGTGCTGGCTTGAGGATATAATTTAAGATAGTTCCAGAATGTATTATGACATCAGCAATCTAATACAAATCTACCTAGGCGGTTCTATACAGGCTACAACTGCATCATTTGTTATATCTGTGTCACTGATTTGGAGGCAAATTTATGCTGGCCATGTAAAGGTGTATAAAACCAGTTGCAAATTAAGAAATAAAAAAATGTAAATATTACGTTGTAAAGTACAACTCTAGGAATTCTTTAGGTCTGGTAGGAATGTTAGGAGGGACCCCGAGTTAAAAATTAAAAAAAATATGCGTGGAGTTCCCCCATAAAATTCCCAACCAGACCCTTAATCCGGGCACTGGCCTGGCAGGGCAGAGAAGGGCGGGGACGAGCAAGTGCTCCCAACTTCTGCACCATACCAGGCCACATGCCCTCAGCATTGGGAGGGTGCTTTTTCAGGGGTCTGAAAAGACAAGGGCCTCTTCCCCACAACCCTGACCCGGTGGTTGTGAGCGTCTGTGGGCAGGGGGGCTTATTTGCATTGGGGTACCCCCTGTTATAAAGGGGCACCCAGATGCTGCCCCCCACCTTGTGAATGAGTAAGGGGTACTTGTATCCCTACTCATTTACTAAAGGGTTGAATTAAAATGTAAATAAACACATCAGACTTGTAGAAAAAATCCTTTCATTGAACAATAAAACACAACAAAATTGTTGACTATTCCTTTAATAGAAAAAAACCCCCCAAACAATGACAAAAAATGATCCAACAAGGTAATCCAAGGGTCAATCACATCATCCAGCGATGTCCACGACGTTGCCAACTCGTCGAAATAGAAAAAAAAACAAGCCGACCCGACTGTATATAGTAGTCACTGATATTTGATTTTTGTAAGCATGTAACATGTTGGTTTAAGCAAATAATAATTTTGAAATTAATATTACTATATAGGTTGATGAGGAGCCTCAAAAATATCTTATGCAATCGGAACCAGTGAACGCAAGAAACTGTAATAGACGTAGCGATGGCAGCAATGAAACAACAGATAGACTTTGTGTATCTGAGCCTTCTAGTCGTGGTAAGTAATATTAATAAATTGGATGCATGAGTAGTTTTATGGTCTGTGCATATGTTGGTTCTATGCTCTATATTTGCTTTTTAACTTGAGCAACACTTTCAGTAAAAGACACACGTGTTCACATGTTATCATGTGTGGGCAAGGAAAGGAGAAAGTTTTAATTTGTACCTGCCCACAGTCTTCTTTCTATTTGTAAATAGTTTTCAAAGTATAACAAATTAGAAAAACCAACTTTCAGATCTGTCTATCTATCTATCTATCTATCTATCTATCTATCTATCTATCTTTTAGGAAAAAATATTTTCGATATAAGAGTAGAATACAGTGATAAACAGTATATTCAATGTAACAATGTTTCTTTTAGAATTTCTTACATTGTGATCATCTTGAAGTTAGAAGATATGTAAGGTCTGCATTTATTAAAATACATGTTAAGCACATGCTACAATCTATTCAATGCAAGGAATGCAGATAAAAATATGAGATGGCATGATGTGTACAAAGGAGCAAAAACCTTGAAACCTCATTTGTATGGTTTTATCATTTAAACCTACAGCAAATCCCATAACTGTCAAATTAAAAGGGACAATTTATTTGTATTATGGCCTTTGAGATATTCTATTGTATGAACATCACCAGTGTGAGTATTTTGTGTGCATCTTCTAACCTGATGTCAGGCATCCTGCTGTGATTAATATTTGACCAGTTGGCTGATGATATGTTGCTTTTACGTTTGACCATATTGTTTTGCTAAGGAATAAGTTATGGGTGTTCAAAGGAGGTTGTAAACATTAAATCCACATTCTGTATCTTCATAGATCTCCTGTAGAGCATCAAAAATTAGTCTATTAATGATCTCTATTCATAAATTAATTTGCCCTCTTTTTCTGATGCAAAAATTGGAAGTAACAGAAACGGAATCAACAAGTGAAAAATGTATATGCACTTTCTCTTAGTAGGAAAAGCAGTAGACATGTGCATGGCCGAAAATTTCATTTTGTTTTCATTTCGTTTAAATTTAAAAAAAATGTTTTCGTTTTGTAAAAACTTGAATCTATTCGATATTCGATTTGTGGAATTCGGATCGAGCTGAAGTTTTTGTTTTACAAATTCGGATCTTTTAGAATCTATTTGGATAGAGTTTAGTGGGTTGTTAAGCGTGAAAATCGAAAAAATAAAAAAAAAACAGGGTGAGGTGTCTGGTAGGAATTTTAGGAGGGACCCCATGGCAAAAAAAAAAAAGTGTGGGTTCCCCCAAAATCTCTTGCCAGACCCTTGATCCAAGCAGCGGCCTGGCAGGGCAGGAAAGTGAGGGGGGAGTATTGTGCACATTGCATACTCAGTTTTGCTGAAATGTTGCCATATTCCTTAGTAAAGTTTTTCTTAGTTTTTACTTCATTTTATTTTTAAGAGTAGTTTTTATCTGTAGTGTTTTGACATATAAGGACAAACTTTGTTTATTTGGGGCGAATGGCAGGGGCTATATTTCATCTATTCTACTGCAGTGATAACATAATGGTCATACTACATAGATGTGATTATTATTATTATTATTATACAGGATTTATATAGCGCTAACAGTTTGCGCAGTAATTGATTACAGTATGTGCATATGGCCGCTACATATTATCTTTCTCACTGGAAGCTTCCAATAACTCTTGGTAACAACAAAGGCCATCAGAATATTTTCCAAATGCATGACTCTACATTCTCTTCTGTGCCAAGGAGAGGGCAGTTTATTATCCAGTTTTGGATATGTACTGAATGTGTGTTTGCAGCCTTCCAGACTGGCATTTGTTTCTTGTTCACTTGTAAAGGTGGAATTGAGTTTCAGCAGCTTGCTCTTGATCCCATCTATCTGACCTTATTCATATTTTTGGGGTGGCTCAAAAGGACCCATGTGTCCTCTAAAGCCTCTGTAAAGTGTGTCCATCCAAGATCCACTGACATACCACTTGATATGGCTTGTATTGAACAGTAATTAACTTAAAGAAATAATCTACTTAACTTTTGTTTACAGTATGGCGTCAGGATGGCAATCCGTAATATACAGGGGTACGGGTACTCCTAGAATGAGATCCTAATAGGTTGGACTTGATGGACTAATGTCTTTATTCAACCTCAAATACTATGTAACTATGTAACTATGTAACAGTAACTCATGCATAACTCAAAATAACTTTTTTTTTTACCTCTGTATTTTAGCCGTGATTCTGCTTCTTTTAGAATACATGTACAATTGTCTGCATCAAGTCTATGAAGAGTTTAAACTTTAAATATATCTGTCAGAAAATGTCATGCAGTGGACTGAAATTCAAATTTAATATTTTTGATACTTGTTTCTTATGGATGATGGACGTGGATAATTAATTCTTCTTTTCATTGAAGGTCATCTGTCCTGACCTACTCTTTGTAGAGCTATGTGTCCCTTGTCAAAAACTACATATCAGACTTGCAAATTGGGAGCCAGAAAAATTCCTTGAAAGGTCATCTTACAATTTAAATCCATATATAGTTGTATATTACCTCCACTGAAATGATATTTAAGCAGTAGATTAAAAGTTTAATTTAAATGTAAGGATCATAATGAAAGCTTATAATTAAAAAAAAAAATTTAATTAGGAAATTGAGACAGGAAGTAGAATTAGTTAAAAAAATTAAGACATTTGTTTAAAAGCATGATTGCTTTTTGATTATTTAATCTAAAAAGATATAGGGGGCAATTTACTAACCTAAACACACACACGCACCAGGTGCGTGTGCATTTTTACACAGCAAAACGTATTTATCAACCAAACACGAGCAACGTGTCACATTTTCACGCCGTTATGGCGCGTTTTTATGTATTTACGTACGTGCGTGTCATGTAGCATGCGCCATAGGCTACACGCCGCTCTAATAGCGGCATGCAAGTCTCTAAAAGCATATTTCCACTAATGCCATATATGGAAAAATCATGCACATGATGCATATATAATGCTGCTTCACAGTTTAGACAAAAATGGTTAGCTCATGCATTTACATTCCTGCATTCATCAACGCAAGCAACACAACGTAGAGCTAATTTACACAACATCACCTTGCAATTCATGCAGGGCTTTGCAGGGCTTTGCACAACACACCTGCTGGGTGTGTACACACTACAAAGGTGTCTAGATTCCACCAATAGATCATGCTGGGAGGGAACACACTACAGAGGTGTGTACTTGTTCATGGCGTGTTTATAAGGTTAGTAAATCAACCCCATAGAGTCTATATATAAAACATTTGCGAACGTTTCTGGGAATGAAATCTGCAGGGCATTATGACCACTAGATGGAGCATAGGAAATTTCTATATAAATGGACCCCATAGTGTGTTTGTGTGCGTGCGTGTGTGTATATATGTGTGTTCATAACACCTCAGCAGTGCCACAGGCTGATAGCTTCCATGCCACGCCGCATTGAGGCAGTAATTGCTGCAAAAGGGGCCCAAACCAAGTACTGAAAACATATGCATGCTTATACTTTTCAGAGGTCCGATATTGTTCTATGTACAATCCTTGTTTTATTGATTGCATGTAATATTCTAATTTTCTGAGATTGTGGATTTGGGGTTTTCATGAGCTGTAAGCCATAATCATCACAATTATGACAAATCACGGCTTGAACTATCTTACTTTGCATGTAATGAGTCTATCTCATATATTAGCTTCACCTTTTAAGTTGCACTAGTGAAATAAATGAACTTTTGCACGATATTCTAATTATTGGAGTTTCACTTGTATATAGATATATATACAGGCTATATATGGAGTTGACTAATTACATTTGCTTACTAAGCATTAAAGTCCTTTTAAAACAAGCTATCCTGACTCCATTTGCTGCAGGTTGAAATTAAGTCACTCTCTTAGGCTTCCCTGTTAACCCCAATTGGACTACATCACAGAGTAGCAGGAATTCTCCTCTCCTTACCCTTTGCAGCACTGAAAGCAGCATCTGCATTGGATACCGCAAGGTGACCCGAGATTAGCTGGGATGCAGAGTCCATACTTCTACTTCAGGAGATAGCAAGTGAAAAGGAATATGGTCCTTAGTGCACTTTACCAGTTCTCAGAACAAATGAAGTTCATCAGCTCACTAGAATAAATCGCCTAGACCTGTATGTGTTGGATTTGTATCCATTCTGAGTCTGATAACATCAGAAGAAAACGGGAAAATATTTCAATAACAGTGGACAAGGGGTAGTGCTGGCATGTCCTTTGTGTTTCTTCCAGAGATCAACTAGTGCCCTCCCTTTATTGACTTAATTAACTTAAATTATTTAAGAACCATATTATTTAATTGTCTCAAGCTTTAGTCTAAATTCATAACTGCTTTATAGCAGCTGCTCTTTCCGAGAGTGCTGAATATGTTATAGAATAACATTATTTGAGTCTTACACAATGTGTCATTTATTGCCTCCAGAGATTGGTTTGCAGAAATGATTTTCATGAAAAAGACCTTGAATATTATAAAATTAACTTTCAGAACTTCAATATTGTCATATGTAAAAGAAACAAAATATTACTTTATATCTCGCTTGCCTAATAACATTTTATTAAAAAGTTTAAAATGGTAAAACTAAGTTTAAAGTGACAGCTAATTATTTTTTATCAGTTTAATGCTGGCACATCAAAACTATATTTTCTATTGTTATAATGTACCAGCCATTCAAAACTGATATTTTAAAATATTTATCCACACTAGAATTTCTGGATCCATCCAACTGTTTATTTATTTAGCGCCGACAATTTGGGCAGCGCTTTACATCGTACACACTGATATCAGTCCCTGCCCTCGAGGAGCTTAGAAACTAAGGTCCCTATCTCACATACATACATACAGGGCAGATTTAGACAGGAGCCAATTAACCTTCCAGCATGTCTTTGGAGTGTGGGAGGAAAACAGAGTATCCCACGCAAGCACAAGGAGAACACGCAAACTCCTTGCAAAAGGTAACCTGACTGTAGCTACAAA